TAGAGAGAGAGAGAGAGAGAGAGAGAGAGAGAGAGCATTAAGAATGTTCTTTCACTGTTCTTTCAGAAGTTCCACACTGTCACTACCAGCACCCCCACTCACTACAGGTAACCGCCCCCCCCAAAAACTGTCCCCTCCCAACCCTTATATCCCCCGCCTTCCACCTTATCCCTCAATCCTACACCTGCAACCCCTGTTAGCTTTAACCCTAAACCTCAATCTAAACCACCTCCCTTGTAGTCACACACCTCTGGCTCTCAGAGAAACAGGTTTCTGAGTGCTGCGTGTGTTGCTGTAGTATTGTAGCATTGCTAGAGAGGCACAGTATGTGCTGACTCAAGGTGTCCCCATCACTGACAATCATTTAGTTTACCAGTCAGGCTTGTCTCACATCAAGAGAATCAGACTAGATAATTTCAACGGCCCACCACCAAGACAAACACTGCTTACTGTTATCTGTATCCAAATCGATGTATATACCTTCCCCTATCCAACCTTTAAAACTAAAATCACCTCTGTAGTCCATTGAGGCATGTTTTCCCTTCTCCCTTCTCCCATCTCTTCAGCCCAAGCAATATTCTCAGAGCTCACAGTCCCTAGTGGCACCGCGTCTACTGTAAATGCTCAACGCTCTCCTCAGCCCAGTTCCCATAATTCAGTAGTCAGGGTTAGTGTGAGGGTAATGCAATTCAGTAATAGTGAATACTGATTACAGCACTCAATCAGATTGGCAGGTTCTGGAAATCAGGGTGAACAGGTTTTAATCATAAACAGTCATGTTTACAATGAACACTTCTAAGCAAGAGCTAGACGTAACAAGTTTGCTAAGTTCATGGTATTGAATTTTTAAACGTTTATTCTATGCGCTTATTATCATGTAATGACATCATTGTGCACAACTGTATGTTCAGTACAGATGGACAATATATCATCAGCTGTCAAATTGATACCTTTATGATAAGTAAAATAGGCAAATATATACACTACTGTTCAGAAGTTTGGGGTCAGTAATATCAAAGGGGTCAAAATGTGATCAAAATTCATCAAAAGGGAGTGTAATGTTCTTTACATTTTTACAAAGACATCATATTTCAAATAAATGCTGTTCTTTTGAGTTTTAAATTTATTAAAGAATCCTGAAAAAATGTGTCCCACTTTCCACAAAAATATGAAGCAGCACCACTGTTTTCAGCATTAGTAATAATAAGAAATGTTTACTGAGCACCAAAGCAGCTTATTAGAATGATTTCTTAATGATCATGTGAGGTTGGAGTAATTGCTGCAAAAATGCAGCATTGCTAAATTACATTTATATATTAAAAATATATTATAAATATAAAACAGTTATTTAAACTACAAATTATTTCACAATATTGCTGTTTTTACTGTATATCTGATCAAATAAATGCTGTATTGGTAGCATAAGTGAATTCTTTCAAAAACATTTCAAAAATCTTACTGACCCCAACTTTTTTGAAAGGTAATGTCATTAATTGATAATGATCACAACCACATTATTACTTATTACCTATCTTTTTTTATTCTGTTCATGAGTTATATTTTCCGTTTAGCTTTTATTAAAGAAAGTTGACCGTAGGCATGTTTAATTTCTTTATCTATAGTTAATATTGCTACATTTCTGAAATGGTTATTCAATAAGAAATTTGTAGAAAGTTGTAGGAAAATTTCTGCAGCTGTGTAGATTCATGTTATATTGGCCAATTATATATATTCTAGATATATTATTATAGATAATTATATATATAGAATTATTGATATATAATTATAAGTAATAGTCATCTATGCATCACTAGAATTCAGCTTTTGTTTTCAGACAATATTTTCCAGAGTTTCATTGTTGATGACTTTAGAACCATTTACAGGAATTATCATGCAATTATTTGAGTGAACTACCACTTTGTTTCATACCAGTTTATTATTGTTGCATGAACGGATCATCAGATTTACCCATCCCTAAACATATAAACATATAAAAGGTAAAGTATGGCTATTCTTTTTTTTTTACATGTAGTAAAAAGTGGCCCCTTCCTGTCTAAGTGGGTGTTTCTTTATCCAGAATAAGCTACTGTGTAGAACAGACTTAATGCCAAAAGTCCAGAGACTAATGTAGGGCACAAGAGTAATGCATGTCTGCTGTTACATTTAATGCGGTTTAAGTTAATACTCCATTATGATAACTGGATCAGAGTGCTTTTAATGTGTTACTGTTGTATCTTCTCAGTTTACTGAAGGTGTCTCAGGTGTTTAATGTGTGCAGGGATTATGTTATTTCATACCCTATGTCTATTCAAATGCAGCAATTTAATGTGAGGGAAGAACTCTCACCTTTTCAGACGTATTCACCTCTCCACCTGGTGCAGTGTCCCACCTCACTGGCTCCCATGCTCGAAAGATAGCCGAGATTGCTCTAGCATGAATGTCTTGCTGCACTGGTACCTTATAATACAGGCAGCAGCACCTAAATGTCAAATTTAAGACAGAAACAACTCTAGGAAGACAAAAGGGCTAATGATTAGTTTTAACAGGCAAGCTGATCAACCCCTCCTCTAATTCCCCTGGAATCCTTCAGCTTTATATGCATACAGAAACACCTACACACATACACAATCCCTACACACTCACTTGTGGCTTTTATGAACCTTTCCTGCACACTTTTGTCACACGGGTTGTTTTTTAATTGATTGATTGAAACCCTAACTAATCTGTCTTATAACCTCCCTAATCTTTCTGTCTGTCCTGGCATTCCATACACAGTGGACAGAGGTAAGAGACACTTCAGTTTCACTTTAAGCGCTTTGCTAAAGTTGCGTGTGTTCAGGATTGGGAGTGCATTTTGTGTGCATCTTGGAAAAGAGTGCTTTTTCTATTTGTTTGTTTGTGCCTGACCTAAATAAAAAAGTTTTTAACCTCTTGTTACTTGTTAGTTGATGGGAATGTGATTACAGCATTAAGAGCTCATACAGTATTACTACAGGCTGATGGTGTTCCACCTTACATTGACTCTCTGTTTGCTTGATCACAGCCTCTGCCCCATGGAAAAAAAAATCAGGTAAAGCTCTTTGTCCGCTCTGTCTGTCTTGTATGAGACACTTGACCTAATGGGTCTGCAAATATTTCTTATGGGTTGAAACCTGTCTATCTGTTACAGAGTTCGAGTCTTCACAAGCTACAGAGAAGAAGAGGACAGTTTATCAGATGGCTTTGAGTAAGAGATTAATTGGTTTTATACAGAGGGACTGTCATGCATCTAGTCATACTTAAAGTTTAAAAATCAAGGGATAGTTCACCCAAAAATTAATATTCTGTCATCAATTATTCAGTTACGCAATTAAAAATTGTATTACTGAGCACCAAAGATATTTGATATGAGATATTTAGCAGAATGCAAAATAGATGGAGACAAAAAAAATGAAACATCATAAAAATAGCCCTAGTCCAAATCTTTTCAACCATATTCCAAGCCAGGGGTGCCCAAACTCGGTCCTGGAGGGCCGGTGTCCTGCAGAGTTTAAACTCTGCAGATCACCGGCCCTCCAGGACCGAGTTTGGGCACCCCTGTTCCAAGCGATTTAAAGCCATATGATAGTTTTGTGTGAGGTGTAGTATAGGCTGAAATTTTGTTTTATTATTCATTGAAAATCTTGCTTGACAGGCATGACCACAGTTTACTTTAATTGTATGGAAAAAGAGCAGCTTTGCTATTCTGCTATAAATAAATTCCTTTGTGTTTCATGGAAGAAAAAAAAGTTAAAAAAAAAAACATGGGTGAGACTGATGATGGAATTATCATTTGTTGGGTAAACATCTCCTTTAAATCAGTTCAAGCTAAAAATAGAAATAGTTTGTTAATTAATTAATTAATTCTCTCTCTTTTATTTTCTGGCAGATAAACTGGATGAGATTTTAGCAGCAGCACAGCAGACCATCAGTACCAATGAGGCCCCAGGGCCCCGGGTTCAGGGGATAAAAAGAGAACGGGGCAGAGGCTTATATAATGAGGTGTGTTTATGTGTGAGACGATTGAAGCAGTTATTAAAGATGGCTAAGATCATTATGATTAAAAGATTAAATTTTTTAGATGATGCTCAAGATATGAGCTGAGCTATATTTTTTTGCGGAAAATGTTTAGCAAAATTGCATTCTTTTAAAAATTGGTTCATAATGTTATTTCTCTCCATGTATTTTGGCAGCCAAGTTTCGACCAATCGGGAATGGGGATGACATCATCTGGGGCAGGGCTAGGCTATGACCGTGGTCAATTTGTGTCTGGCCACGGCCCCCCGCACGGTATGCTGCGACAGAAGTCTATCGGTGAGGCTGTCTGTTAGTCCATCTGTCTGTCTGCCCACCTGTCTGTCTAACCAGTCTGTCTAACCATACTGCTGTACGTCTATGGTACGTGGGTTTAGAGCACTCAAAAGAGTGCAGCTGTGGGTTTGCTTTAATGCTTATCATCTGTAATTCTTTATTGCTCTAGAATAGAAGACCATACATGTCAGTTTTTGGAAACAGTCCATAAGAATCTTGTCAGTGGTTTGACTGGGTTACTGGAGAGGCCAATTGCCATAACAAAGGTGAATGAGATTTATTTCATCTGGTGCTCAGCATCAGTGTTCATTCTTGGTTGAACTATAAAATTTACAGCCCATTTATAACCCCCAAGATTATTAGGACACTATGCTGTCAATGTCAATATGTGATTAAATGTTCAATATGAACATGTTCACTTTCTTGGGTTGCACAGTTGCTAACTTTATTTACATTAAAAAACAAACAAGAGCATTTGTTTAATTTGCATGCCATTAGATAAAGCTATTGTGTATGTGTCATTTCTTGTGTCCTCAGGTAGACTTTATGTGTGTATTGCATTTGTCCTTGTATAACACACTGTAACTAAAACTGGTCTGCACAGACACAAAAGAGCATTGCAGAAGTAGAGAGGTGAATGGCTTGTACATGTTACTGCTGGGAGATTGCCCAGTTATAGTAATAACAGACAAGCTGACAGACAGACAGACATACTACAAGATGGTCTCATTTCTGTATCCCATTTTATTGCCCTCTGCTCATTTTTAGGAAATAAATATATCTTTTCCTTTCTTACTCTTTTCTCATTTCCAGCTGTTGTACATTCTCTCTCTCTCAAACATATTTTTCTGTTGTCTTTGTTGTTTTGTAACACTCTTTTCTATTCATTCTCCCTTTATTTATTTCATCTTTATTTCATGAAAATGTATTTCATCTTTCTCTTTTTGGTTTTCTCTTTCTGCAGGGGTTCCAGAGGAGGAAAAGCAGTTCCTTCATCCTCCAGCCATGAAGTTTGCCCGCAGTCTTTCAGTACCTGGCCCAGATGACATCCCTCCTCCCCCTACTACAGCTCCCCCTGAGCCCCCTTTCTCCTCAGCTCCCCCTCTTGGCTTTAGGGGCAAGACATCCCAGCAGCCATCTGTTTCTGTGTCCCAATCCACTTCCTCTTCTGCACAGTATCAGCTCTACTCACAGTCAGTACATGTCACACATGGACCCAGAGATAGGTCCCCTGGACCACCTGCTGGGTCCGGAACCGGGGACCTCTCTTACTCCCATGCTCAAGCCCACCCCTCTGTGCCAAGCAGGACTGCCTCCAGAAAGGTGATTGGGTACACAGGGGACCTTGCAGGGGCTGGAGGAGCACCAGGAGCCAAGGCAGCAGCACTGAGAAGGGGCTACAGCAATGCAGTCCCACCCACTAGTGTCGCTACTGTAATTCCACAACAGCAGCAGACTACTCAGAGCCAACCTTCCAGGATGGACCGCAGTGCGATAGGGGCAGGAGCAGGGGCAGGTGGCGTACAGAAAGGTGGTGCCCGGAGAGGGAAGGGGCCCTTGGTGAAGCAGTCAAAGGTGGAGGATCTGCGTCAGGGCCAGGGCACACTGGAAGGGAAGGGGTCAGTGGAGAAGAGCTCTATTCCTATCCCAACCATCATTGTTAAAGCTCCTTCCACCAGCAGCAGTGGACGCAGTAAGATTGACCGTTCTAACCCCCAACCTGTTGTTCCCCCACCTGCACCCACCGTTCCACCGCCAGCCCCTCCATCTATACCTGCTCCCCCACCCCCATCACTGCCATCACTTCGTACTCAAGAGAGTTTGGACTTCACCAGCCAGTTTGGTGCTGCCATAGTAGGGGCAGCTCGCAGGGATCGAGAACGATTCCATGAAGCACGACGGAAGAGTGCCTCCTTTTTTCTTTCTGCTGAGGAAGCGTTGGGTGGAGCAGGAGAAGTGGGAGGACGGACCCAGACTTCCCAACAGCAGCTGAGTTCCCAGCCTTCACCACGTCTGCGACCGTCCAAATCTATAGATGAAGGCATGTTCTCAGGTGATACTTTTATCCACCACACACGCAGTATGCCTCCTGCCTTCGGCCTGCCTGAGTACTCCTCACCTGCTCCTCCTGGGGATTACCAGCCTAAGTCTGTACCTGCTGACTTCTATGGGGCGGGAGGGCGACAACAGCAGCAGCAGCAAGCCTCCACCACAACTTTCATTCACCCATTAACGGGGAAAGTTCTGGACCCTTCATCCCCACTAGGCTTGGCGTTGGCTGCAAGGGAACGTGCCTTGAAAGATGATGGTCGCATGCGCAGGGAGAGGACCACTGAACATCATTTTACCCGTCAGTTGTCCAGCATTGGGGCCTTTCCCTCGTCCACTGCACAACCAACATCACGCATCTCCTACTCAATGGCCTCGTCTTCCTCTGCACCCTCCTCTGCTGCTCAGTCCTCAAGCTCCTCCTCGTACCTTGTTACCTCCTCATCACTCGCTGCCACCACTACATCCACTCGGCCTCCATCTCCCAGGATCCTGCGTGGAGCAGGAAGCAGCTGGGGTGAGGAAGCAGGGGTTGGAGAACGTGCAGATAGGGAGGCTGCTGGCACCTCTGCTCCCAGAGAAGGCCTAAGGGTTCGTTTCTCTGAGGATAAAACTGTCCACACGCACCACTATCAGAGAAAAAGCTCACGCCCAGTTACAGCAACAGTCCACACAGCCAATGCCCCAGCAGCCTCGACGCCCCTCATTCTTGAGGATGGAGAGTGAGGCTGGGGCATACATCCTTTCTTTGACACCACCTTCTCCACCTCCAACAAAAGCCCCTACACGTCCTTCAGCAGGAGCTGCAGGTGAAGGTGCAAGTGGCACAGGTCTGATGGTTCTTCCTCCCCCAGCTCCCTCAGTAGATGCAGATGATGAGTTTGTGTTTGTTGATCCTCTCCCTCCACCTCTGGAGTTTGCCAATAGTTTTGATCGTGGTTTGGGTTACTCTGCGATGATGTCCCACAATGTGACTGCTCGCCAGCAGCATCATCCTCCACCTCCCCCGCCACCTCCTCCCCCTCCAAAAGACTCCTTTATGTCTGGGTTCCCACCTCACACACCCCTGCCCTCACCCCAGGCAGGAGATTCCACAACTTCCAGCCTTACTTCCTATGACAGTGAGGTCGCCAACCTCACCCAGTCAGCCCCGTCTCCCTCTCCATCTTCCCCCAACCCACTACCGCCTCCCTCCCCCTCCACCTTGCAGCCCTCTGGGCCACCTCCACCTCCTTCTGTATCACCTCCGCCACCACCCACCTCCTACCACAGACCATTTGGCCTATCTCAGTCACAACACTTATACAACAGTACAAATTCAGCCGGACGCTCCTCTTCTCCCACACCACCTCCTCTCTCTATTCCAGCTCCACCTGCCTACCGGGGCCCTCCAACAGCAACATCCACCCCAGCAACTTCTGTATCTCTCAGAGGCGCCTCAACTGTAACCGCAAGCTGTTCCACAACTGCTTCTACAACTGTCGTCTCTTCTGCTACTACCGCTGCTGCCGCTGTCACACCACACACACGCATTGCAACTGTCTCCACAGTAGCTACAGGGGGTAGCAGACGGCCCAGCGCAGAGCATCATCCGACACCCAGTGCAGCTGCAGCTAAGAGTGGCGAGTCTCAGGAGACAGTGGTGGATTCTGGGATTGAGGAGCTGGACAGCTCTTTCTCTTTACTGTCAAACTCTTTTTTTCTTTTTCTCTCTTTTTGTCCTATCTCTTATTCGTTTGCCTTAATTTGTGTTTCATTTTCTCTCATTTCAGGTTCTCAGAGGACTCCACAGGTGCACTGAGTCCTCCCTCTGTCCGCTCTAGCTCCCCATCTCCTGTTCAGCTCTCTCAGCCTGCCTTGTCTCCCTCCCCCACCCCTTCTTCCCAGCCGCTCTACCCAAACTGGGCTCGATCTCCTTCCCCTCAGCCCCCTGCTGCCTCATCCCAGCCTCCTCCCCGATCACACTCACCTGTTTCTCCCTCTTCATATTCGCCGTACCCCACCTCACCCAAACACCGGCCCATTTACCGCACCAAAGCCCTGGAGTTCCAGTTTATACCCAGCCGAGAGTCACGTAAGGCAGAGTCGCATTACGCTCAGCGCAGACGAGCACCCAGCCCGTTAATTTCACCCTCTGACCGCCCCAAGCTTGGCCCTCCCCGCCCCTCTTCCCTTCCCATTCTCCCAACTACGCCTCTCTATAGCAGCTTGTATGACCTCCGTGGTTCTATTACTCCACCCTCACCTGCCAATCCTCTTGGGGACCCCTACTTCTCTCCCTCTCCCCCTCTCTTTGCCCCCTCGGGGGCTCCACCTCCTCCAAATTCCTCTCTGGTGGTCTCTCGCTCCTTGTCACCCACCCACTTCCTGTCAGGGACTTCATCCCCACCACTCCACCCCATTCCTCCACCCACTTGCCTGAGTTACCCTCACCTTCCACCCCCTTCACCCACCAAACCCTTCGCCTCCAAACCACTCCCATACTGGACCAAGTATGACGTTGCGGATTGGCTGGGCTACCTGAACCTGGGTGAGCACAGGGAGCGATTCCTAGACAACGAGATTGATGGCACGCACCTGCCCTCTCTTACCAAGGACGACTACCTGGACCTGGGTGTGACCAGGGTTGGCCATCGCATGAACATAGAGAGGGCGCTCAGGAGAGTGATGGACAGGTGAGAGGAGGGATAGAAGGGGAAGCAGAGAGATGCAAGGGAGGACAGCGATGGAGAGGGATTAGGGTGAGAAAGGGGCAGTGCATGAACAAACAAAGGTAGTACAGTTGAGGTAAAAACATTGATATGCTATTGATTGCTAACTTCTGGGAACATTTGGAATGGACCGCTGCATGAGGTCCAGGATGGCATGGGGAAAGAGAAGGAGAACAGAAAGGGGGATGCGGGTGAACAAGAGAAAAATGATTTCCTTACACTTTCCACCTTCCCCCTATCATCAGGCTGTCTTCTAGCACTTTCCCCATTTCTGCCCTCTCCTCTTGAGATGTACGGACAGACAGAAGGAGAGATGAGGCCAACCGGAGTTGAGAGGACAGGAAAGATGAGGTGACAACTGCTGCCATCAGAGATTATTCCCTGAATTAAGAAAAATGCAGGAAGAGGTGACTTCGACATCAAACTGCCAACTCGCAGATGGAGAGATACAGGAGAAACGGAGAGCATTGAAGGCCTGTCGAGCTGTGAACATGCCTGCGCTTACGTGTGTTTCAGTCAACAAAAACATAAACGCCTACATACACATCCGTACATATCAACATTTAAACAGAACACACTTAGTTTGAGCTTGCAGGCACTCACAAGGTGATCAAAATGGAAATAGATTAATCAAACCGGGGAAACTAACTCTATGAGGATACCGAAGTTCAACATGAGAAGGTAACATACTACATAACTGAGCCAAATAATTTGAGGGAAACAATCAAAATGCTCTTTAGCTTTCCTGTTTTTCTGTAGTTCTATAGGAAGAGATAGGGAGAGAGATATTGAAACCTCCTTTGCTATCTTTCTCTTTTTCTCAGATTTTCAGCTGAGTCTGTATTACTGGCAAATATTTACTAATGGTCTCATTTATAGAGTAGGTTCAATGGAGACCAATGCAGGGAGGGCAAGTACTGACAAACCTCCTGTCTGGCATGACTAGGGAAGCCCTTAAAATAGAGGTAAATTTAACGGCAGGCACTTATTTGGTAAGACTGTGTTTATGCTTGGGTTCCTGTTGTTTGTGTGAGTGCGTGTACTTGATAATGTGAAAGGTTATCACTAGAGGCATGACCGTGATTTGTTATGTGTTTTTACCTCACCAATGGAGGGATTCTATTTTGCCGAAGCCAGATTGGGGCTTATGCGTATCTTGTATTTCACTAGAACTTCTTTACCTTCTCATGTCTTATAATGAAATTTTATATATATATATATATATATATATATATATACAGACTGGTCACTGTATTACAAACCCGTAGCAAAAATAAGTGCCCAGACCAACATAACAGACACACAAGCGCTCTACCACTTACACACATGCACTCAGTACTTCCTCAGCCTACTGATAGCAACATACACAAACGTACGACAACACCTGTCGATGACGATACACTCATCTCTTTTATTTATATAACACATAATGGGACACAATAAAATATGTATGGATACAAGATGAAGATAGTTATAACGCAAAAAATCTTTCAAAGAAGGAAGATGATACAACATTGTAAAAAGAAAAGTATATATATACTGAAAATTCATCAACATTTTTACCACAGACTCTCAAAATATAGAGGTGACTACGACTTCAACGAACCTATCAACGATAGGCTCCATTTTAAAAGAGGAGACAACATGGAGACTTAATACGATGATTGTTCCTATAACAATTTTTAAACTCTAAGTGGGTCTGGAGTTCTGTTGTTGATTTAACAAGAGATGTTATTAATTGCAATCACTGTTCTCATCGTCCTTGCTGTTATCGCTATAAGCTGCAGTGTTTCTTGTTTGTTTTTGAGCGCAAATGCTGGACAGGTGTTTATGCTTGACTTTAAAAAAAAAAAAATTAATTTGTGACCACATACAACATGTTCAGATCTTTGGTACCTCTAGGACTTAAATTAGAGACAAGACTTTCATATCTTTCAATGTCCCTTACCCTCCTGCTTTTCCCTTCCAACACAAAATTATTGTGTCATCACTTTGTATGCAAGGACTATCAAGAAGTTTATTGTGTGTGGCAGTAGATATACCCTTTACGTTCATATTCCATCACTCGAACTTAAGTAAATCTAGTGACCTCCAGCCCTCATCTCCCACATCACAAATTGTTGCTCAATCAATTAAAAGGGCTCCTCATCACATTGCACCTTTCATGAGTTATTCATCCTTTTTCTCTTCCTTTCATTTGCAGTCACCTTGAGTCCAAACCACCAACACCTTCACCTTTATGTTACCTTCCTGTCTATGTCTCTTTCAGGACCATTGGTAAAGATTTTGCCCCCTTCATCTCCCTCTGCCCATCTTGCATCTGTTCGTCTTCTCAGAATGAGTGTGGGATTCATGCATCATTCATCACAGCGCTGGCTTTACCTTAATCACCCGTATTGGACAAAACGATTGAAGAACTCATTGTATTTTTGATGTTTAAGACTGGTAAGTATAGTGATGTTGATAACAGTAAGGACAATGAAAGAAATTATCATTCTGAGATGGAAAAAAGTTTTAAAGAATCTCTGTCTTCCAAATGTTTAACACGAGTTTAACGTGTAATCAAATCATGCTTTCTACACATCCTGTGTTTCCTGTTGTCTCATCTTTCCACAGTCAAATTCATCAACCCAATTCGCTTCAATAGCAGCTGGTGTACTCTGATGAATGGTAAATATTCTCACTTTCCAATATTGTCCACTAGGTGGAGTAAAAGTCACAGTTCTCAGCCGAGTGAATGAAGGATTGGACCATGCAAAAGACAATGCAAAAAAAAAATTTTCTGGTTGGGAAAAGGAAATCTTTAAGTCCTCAAGCTCTGCAGCTCAGATTGTCAATATTACAGCTTCTAATAATAGAACAGTATTCAGACACGCTTTCACACTGCAGAGAAATGCATAATCATGCTGAGGATACATGCACATTGAAGATCACATAGCCATTAAAGGGTCTGGGCAGTGTGACCTAGGAAGAGGTCACGGATCGCACACAGGAGCAACTGATGCAGTAGCCGTCCAGGGTGTGCAGAAAGCATCTTTTTTTCTTTTAAACTGAAGAAAACTAACTGAACAGATAAGAGGTTATTTACAGAATATATATAT